CTCCTATGGAAGTCCTTCCTCTCCTTTTGACTGTCTACAGACAACTTGGGAGATAGTGTTCCTTCCTTTGTTTACCAGTAGCTTGTCTCTACCCAGTTTTTCTTGCTGATCAGCACATCGCACATCGTGGTGTTTTAAAATAAATATTGGGTTAATGAGTCACTGTGGGTGTTAGATATATTCATTTATGTAAGAACTTGAAAAGGAAGCTGGGTGCTGGTGGCTCACACCTGTAATGTTAGCTACTCAGGAGGCTGAGTAGCTAGATCTGAGACTCATGGTTTAAAGCTAGCCTTTTTTACTTGCTAAGTAAAAGCTTCATTTGTTTATTGTGTGCAATATGAGGTTTGGTTTGGTTTTTTTTTTTGGTCCGGTCGTGGGGCCTGAACTCTGGGCCTGGCCGCTGTCCCTCAGCTCTTCAGCTCAAGGCTAGCGCTCTACCACTTGAGCCACAATGCCACTTCCGGCTTTTTTCTTTTTGCTTATGTGGTGCTGAGGAATCGAACCCAGGGCCTCATACATTCAAGGCAAGCGCTCTACCACTGAGCCACCTTCCCAACCCTAAGGTTTTGTTAAATGAAGATAGTTCACATGTTACATCACATACTTCTCATTTGATTTTTGTGGTGAGAACACTTAAAATCTACTGTAGAAGCAGAGAAAAGGGTTTGCCCAAGTTATAAAGAAGTAGATGTATGCAAGAACTTGAGACTTTTAGGAATTTGAACAACGGCTTGATTTTACATCTAGATATTTGTCTTGGAGGAGTGCAATCTTAGCCCTGAATTTAACCCTAGAACTACACCCACCAACACACACACACACACACACACACACACACACAGAGACACACACACACACACAGACACACACACACACACAGACACACATACACACACATCTGTGAATAATTGATTAACATTATTAGGCAGAAGATGACACAAATGGATATACTGTGTGCTACGTTTTAAATTGCTTAGTGACATCACTTTGCGTAGTCTAACCGTTTCATGAAAGTTATATATAAAAAAGACTGCATGGGCTGGGAAGTTGGGTCAGTGGTAGAGTGCTTGCCTCACATGCATGAGACCCTGGGTTCCATTCCTCAGCACCACATAAGCAGAAAAAGCCAGAAGTGGTGCTGTGGCTCTAGTGATAGAGCACTAGCCTTGAGCTGAAGAGCTGAGGGACAGCGCCCAGGCCCAGAGTTCAAGCCCACAACCAACAACAATAACAAAAAGACTGCAGTGTGCTTTCGGGTGATCTGGGTTCTGTCGTATTTGTAATTATGCTATGGGATTGTAAAAGATTCAGAAGTGTTTAAGTGTTGAACACAATCTGTCTTTCCATAGAAAGTGGATTGAGAGATCTGTTGTATATCACATGACCCTTGGTACCTACCTCGGGCACCTGCATTAGGTACTGCCCACTACAAACACAAAGCAATGTTAGGATTCTCTCCTCTGAGGATCCTCCCAGAAAGAGGAGAGACTGTTTAGCTTGCTGGAATCTATGTGGAAACCCCACTTAGGGTTCAGATTACAGGTTTATGTTGTATTGGCCAGGCCCTTCTAAAAAATAACTGTTATGGTTGTAAACACATGTACATTGTCAAGTTCTTTGTATCCACTCTCATACCCTGAAAGTTCTTTGTCTGTCACCTGGACCACTTGCTTCTGTCTTCACTGGCCTGCTCCCACTAAAGCAAAGCTCCTCTCTAAAGCAAATGAGTCTTTTTGTAAAGATAAACCAGATCACCTGTCTCTCTGGCCAATCATGGCTTCCTTGCATTTGGATGACAGATTGAAACATTACATCTATGCCCTCCCCCAAGATGTTCCACTCTCAGCCTCTCTGATCTTGTTTGTCTTTCCTGAAAGCTGCTGCTTCTGCTGCCTAGCACTCTCTGCCCTCTTGGCACAACTGCTCTCTCTCTCAGTGCAGGGCCCCCCACTGAAGGGCTTTCCCTTCTCCCTCCCCCCTCAAATAAGTGCCTTTCTTCCCACTGCTTCAGAGCTCTGCAGCAACTGCTTGTGAATTTCCAAACTGTTGAGGAGTTGACATGCCCACAGCCATGTCAAATTACTGTAGAGGTTTTTAGCACTTATTCTCAGGCTCACTGTCTTGTGGGCTGGCTGATGACCAACAGTTGAGGGGCCATCAGTGGTCTCTAGATAATGCTCCACTTGAGAGCCAGTCATTCTGCAAACACTACCTTTTTTATTATAGAAGATTTGCCCTGTGATGTGAGAGATTTTGCCTTGAACCCATCATCTCCACACAAGGCCAAGATTAATGCTCACATGCTCCAGGTTCTTGTTAAAGCCGTGAAGATACTCCACTGCCTTGTCATGGCTTGCCCAGCCAGTCACAGCCAAGTAGGAGAAAATCATAGGAGAGCAAGGCTACCTCTCCCTCCCTTCTCCCTTGAGTAGATCTGCATCATGTTCAATCCAGTTATTGTTATTGTTGCTGGTATCAAGCAGTGCTAACCTCAGTGATCCTTCAGACTCCATGCATTATCCTGACAGGTAGCTTTGGTGCCAAATGCTTCCTGGTGACATAGGTATTTTATCTCACTGTAGAGTAAGGCCAGCTGGGGGCTCATGGCTGAGATCTGAGGATCACAGTTTGAAGCCAGTCCAGGCAAGAAAGTCTATGAGACTCTTATTTCCCATTAGTCACCAAAAAGCTGGAAGTGGAGCTGTGGCTCAAGTGGTAGAGTATTAGCCTTGAGCAAAAAAAACTTAGAGACAGAACCCAGGCCCTGAGTTCAAGCCCTATGTCCAACCCGCAAAAAAATAAGGCTATTCTCTTAAACACATTTTGTGACCTCCAGACTTCTGTCGTCTTGGGGCCTTGATTTTGTAACTAAAAGCAAAAGCCAGTTTCTTTTTTCACATTCTTTTTAGTAAGGTCGAGTTGTGTCAGCAAACTTTTTCTGTACAACTCCACAAAGTAAACACTTTAGGTGTATCCACATACTTTCTTTCTTTTTAAATTTTTTTTTTTTTTTTTTTCAATACTGGGAATCAAACACAGCTCTTCATGATGCTAGGCAAACACTCTACCCCTGAGTCTCACACCTAACCCTAATAAATTCTAATAAAAGCCATTCTTCATTCAAGCTCCTTAGGAGAGCAGGCCAAGGCAAAGTTTGCATTAAACAGTTGAGAATTACACTTCTGTGGGGCTCAATCTTATCTTCTGTTTGAGTGAAAATTTTAAAAAATGTGATTCATCACAGTTTACTTGTTCTGGCAGTGGTCTTCTTGCAAACAATGTAGTTAATCATTATATTCATATTTTACATTCTTTCTCCTTTCAAGTACATTATAAACATTAATGAGTTTGGGGACAGATTCTCACAGCCTGAAATCATGGTTCCCTGGAGTGAGGTTGATGTTTTGTGTAAGAAACGCAAAGCATATCGACCACTTAAAACTATTTGGAGCTTGGATGGGCTCTGACATCTGGGTGATTCCTCCCGGAGACTGATCTTAATGCATCTTTGTGTGTCATGAAAGACAGATTGTGCTCTCAGCCTGGGCACTGTCTCTTAGGATAACTGGAGATAAGTGTCTCATAGACTTCTCTGCCTGGGCTAGCTTTGAACCGCAGTCCTCAGAGCTCAGCTTTCTAAGTTAAAGCCTGAGCCACTGTCAACTAGCTCTCAATTATTTCTTGATGTTTGTTTACCTATTTGTAACCATCTGATGAAATCTCCTATTGAACTTAGACCTGAGAGTTATTCTTACGTAGTATCTTACCAATAGCCAGATAAGAATTGTGAGGTCAGATTTTCAAATAGTATTTATAAACTTTCTAACTTTAGTTCTAAGTAGGGTATGCTTTGGTGAAACTGATCTGGTGTAAAAACTTCCTTTGCTGCCAAGACCCTTATGGTTTCCTTCATTGTTGTCTTGCTCTTTTTAGACACCATCATTGGTTACCACTCTTCTCCATTTCCTTTCTCGACTTTTTTTTTTTTTTTGTGGCAGTCCTTGAGCTTGAACTTAGGACCTGAGCATTGTCCTTGTGCTTTTTATTTGCTCAAAGCTAGTGTTCCACCACTTGAGCCAGAGCTGCACTCTGGCTTTTTGCTGGAAGTAGAATCTCATAGATTTTCCTGTATGGGCCTGTTTCAAACTGTGAGCCTTACACCTCAGCCTTCTAAGTAGCTAGGATTACAGGCTTGAGTCACCAGTTCCTGGCTTTTTGTTAGCATTCCTTTCTTGTAAAGTTTTCTAATTATAATTCACCTGATGGAAAGCATTCTATGGGAAAGAATCTGACTTCTTTTGGGATTACTACCTACTGCATGAGAAGCCTAGAGTCTTGGTACTATGCAAATTATTGGATTATTATTATAGTGTTTTAATAATCATTATTAGCTTATTAGTGGGTTATTTACAGCTCTTGATCTGAATGGCAGTAAAGTGTGATTGTGAGAAAGGTAGATTCAGAAGCCAGTTCTGTCATTTTAAGATGGTGAGCAGCCCAGTGCCAGTGGCTCATGACTGTAATCCTAACTACTCAGGAGCCTGAGATCTAAGGATCACAGTTCAAAGCCAGCTCAGGCAGGAAGGTCCATGAGACTCATCTCCAGAAAACCGGAAGTGGTTCTGTGGCTCAAGTGGTAGGGTACTCACCTTGAGCTGTAGAGCTGAGGAACAGTTCCCAGGCCCAGAGTCCAAGCCTCACAACCAAAAAAGAAAAAAAAAAAAGAATAAGAAGAAGATGGTGAGCAGCTTTTTAACTATGTGGGGCCTCACTTTTCTTACCTGTAAAGTTGGCCTAATTGAAAGAGCCTTCTCCAGAGAAGTAGTGTGGGCTTTAAATGAATTAATATTTGTTCTACAAAGATTTGTTGAGTTAGGGCCATTTAAGAGTCAGAGGTATAGAGGTAAAATATACTTTTGCTGATACATTCCAATGCATGACATTACACTTGGGAAACCTTATTGTTGACTTGCTTTTTGTCCATTTGTTCTCTACAGGCTTTTGTGGAGGCCCAGAACAAGATTACCGTTCCATTTCTGGAGCAGTGCCCAATCCGAGGTTTATACAAAGAGAGAATGACTGAACTGTATGACTATCCCAAATACAGCTGTCACTTCAAGAAAGGCAAACGGTATGTGAGCATACTGTCGGACAAATCTCTTCTTACTTTCCTTTTTTAAGTACAAAGTACAGAGCTGGGATGTAGCTCAGTGGCAAAGTGCTTGCCTAGCAAGTATAACGTCCTTGGTTCAAGCCCCAGGACCAAAAAAGAAAACACAAAAAAAAATACAGTTAAACACAAAGTATATAACGAAATAGCTCACTAGCTGATAAAATGATTTAGTTACTAGAATATGAGAAGAAAATTTTCTGTCCCATTAGGTAGAGGTATGTAATTTAGTAGAGGTATGTGCTATAAAGAAATGTAGATGATCTGTGCACCATAGGCTCATTATACCTGTAATTCCAGCTTCTCAGGAGACTGAGATCTGAGGATTGAATTTCAAAGCTACCCAGACAGCAAAGTTTGTGAGACTATTTTCTTCCCTTCCTTCCTTCTTTTCTTTCCTTTCTTCCTTTTCTTTCCTTCCTTTCCTTTCTTTCCTTCCTTCTTCCCTTCCCTCCCTCCCTCCCTTTCTTCCATTTTCCTTTCTTTCTTTCTCTTTCTTTCTTTCTCCTTCCTTTCTTTTTTCCTTCCCTCCCCCCCCTCCTCCTTCTCCTCCTTCTCCTCCTCCTTTTTCTTTTTTTCCAGTTCTGGGACTTGAACTCTGGGCCTGTGTGCTGTCCCTGGGCTCCTTTAGCTCAAGGCTAGCACTCTACCAATTGAGTGACTGTGCCACTTCTGGCTTTTTCAGTGATGAATTGGAAATAAGAGTCTCATGGGCTGGCTTTGAACCATGATTCTCAGATCTTAGTCTCTTGAGTAGCTAGGATTATAGGTGTGAGCCCCTGGTGCCCAGTGACTATTTTCAGTTAACCACTAAAAAATCAAAAGTGGATATGTGGCTCAAATGGTAAGGTGCCAGCCTTGAATGGAGAACACTATGGGGACAGTTCCAGGTCCTGTGTCAAAGCCCTAGGACACACATACACATACAAAAAGAAATGCAGATTACAGGAAATCCCTGTTGTCTTATGGGTGGCATTTGGTAAGTCTGGATGATTCCCAAACACCAGTGGATATTTGTTTTTTTCCAATGCTACTTGAGAACATTTTGTTATATGCATTTTTTTTCTCCCAAGAATGATAAAATGGACCATGAAGTAGAGTCCATGAATTCAGTCCTCTTGGCCTCTGTTTTTCACACTCGGTCATCTTCTCTTGTTCTTTCAAAATCTCTTCAGAGCTACCATCACAAGTTTGTTTAGGAATTTCTTAGCCCCTCCCTGCCTATTTCACCAGACAGCAACAAAGTTGAATCTGTTTCCAACTTTACCTGCACCTGTTTGTGTAAATCAAGTCTATAATTAACAGCCATGCCCATTTGTGTTTGTATTTGCCACACCTGCTTTCTTTACACGACTGCAAAGTTGAGTAGTGTAGAAAAAGGCTGAGACCCACAAAGCCCAAAACACATGACGTCTTGCCCCTGCAGAACAGATGTACTGACCTACTGTAGCAGCTAGAATTTCATTTTAGAAAATTTGCTTTCTTCCTGTAAAAGAAACACTCACTGCTCTATTTGAATATTAGCTTTATTTCTTCCTGTAAAAGAAACACTCACTGCTCTATTTGAATATTAGCTTTATTTTTTAGTGAATGAGGCATTGTTTAGATTTAATATGCAGAATCATAATAAATTACTTTCATAGCCACGTGCCAGAGGCACACACCTATAATCCTAGCTACTCAGGAGGCTGAGATCTAAGGAATGCAGTTCAACGACACTTTGGGACACAAGACTCAGTTGCTGAGTCAAAAAAGCAAAGAAGCCAAGTGAGAGCTTGCCCTGAGTTCAAGCCCTGGTATACATACACACTAGTTGCATAAAGAAAGCAATGCAAGTAACATGCTCTAGGTACAGAGCTTTGTGGGACCTTTGACCCTCATTTCCCTGTAGTTGTAACACTATGTTTTGTGCTTTGCTTACTTTTGCTTATATGCTTGAATGTACTGTATGAATAGAAATTGTTGCAGCTAAATAAGGACCCTCTCTCTCCCCAGGTACTTTTATTTCTACAACACAGGTTTGCAGAACCAACGAGTATTATACGTGCAAGATTCCCTAGAGGGAGAGGCCAGAGTGTTCCTCGACCCCAACATCCTGTCTGATGATGGCACAGTGGCACTCCGAGGTGAGTACTGAGTCCTGAAGCCCCCCAGTTGTGGCTATGATGCTAGCGCAGTTGCCTCGCCTCTGAAATACCAGGCAGTGTGTGGACCAGAAGGTGGAACAGATGCACACACAATATTCAGAAAGCTAACTTTTGCACAGTATATTTAGAGCACATGAATAGGCACATTCGTGTTTCTCACTGTGAAGGCATGAAGTAGAACTGGAGATTAGCTTCTGGGGTCATCATCATTTATTTCCTATAACATCCTCAAGACCTGCCTGTGATTGGCAAAACTTAAGTTCTCTTGTATAAGAAATTGAAGCTGTATAATGTTACAGCTAGGAATGTACTCTAGGAGAGAATATTATTGTATCTCTTTTTGTGAGGAGAGTGATCAGAGTTTCAAAGTCTAGATAATTGTCAATATGTTAGGATTGAAAGTGAAAAGATCTTCTGCAAACAATTGTATGGAAGTTAGACAACTTGATACCCTATCTCCCGAAGAAGGTTTAAAATGTGGGTAAGTTTTACCTGCAATTTCTGTAAGGCTCCTATATAACTCTGTCCCCAAGATAGTCTACCCAAATGCCGTAGAGAAAATTACCCAAGGTTTGTGCTGTCAGCAGAGTTCTAGGATAAGGAAACAGGATAACCTGGAGATTTATCCTAGATCTTCCTAGTGATGTTGCCCTTCCTCTCTGGTGCTTCTTTGATGATAGGTCTGGCTCTCTAGAATTGAGAGACTGGAACAGGGACATCCTGTAATAGTAAGGACGGAAATGATAGAGCACCTTTCATCAAATCTGTGCAAAGACCCCATTGCAGGCATTTCTAAACATCATTGAGTGCTCAGTGGTCCTCTGTCCCTCCCAGCTTAGTCTGAGTATGTAAATAAGATGCCTGTGTTAAGTCAGATTGAAAGTGAAATGTTAACAACCCCTGATAAGGTATGTTTTTTCCTGACTCAGCCTCAGGTTTAAGAACTTCTCTTAGCTTTCATAAAGATCTACCTTGCAACCCATCCACATGACTTCTTTGTAATAGGTCACCTCTCACCCTGCTGATGCATTCCAGTACTTTCATTAGCGAATGTTTGCCCAGTATAAGGCCTGATGAGTAGTCACAGAGTAAATTAGGCATAGGTCCTGGTCTCACATAGTCATCGAGTTTTCCGAGAGTGGTATTTTGGGGAAGTTACAGGATGAATAAATATACAGATTCTTGGTTTCTTAACATATAATTTTTTTAATTTATTATTTTAAAATTATCTTTTAAGTAGTTGTACAAAGGGGTTTCAGTTCAACATGTTTGTGAGTATAGTGCATCTTGATCCGTGTTAACCCCTTTCATTGTTCTTTCCTTCTGAATCCCATCCATCCCCTCAAGTTAACTGGTTCCATTTTCACATGTGTACGATGAATATTACTTAACATATATTTTCAACTGAAGTAATGTTCTGTTTAATTTTCTCCTGAAAATACTTTAATTATATAACCCAAACTCTATAGCGTTCTATTCAATAAAAGGTGAATATCTTTTTCTCCCCATTACCTTTCAGACTGTTATTCTACATTTACACACATATGAACCTGGATACCTTACAGGACTTACAAGCCATTAATACGCAGGTTATGAAATTTTCAACTCATTTCCTGTTAGTTGTAAAATGTAAAATAATAGAATCCCTCCCACCCAGTAGTCCCCAGTAGTTTAGCAGACTTCTAAGAGCAAATCTTTGGTGTCTGGTTCTCCTAATAGGAGATGAGATATGAAATGCTGTATATAACTTCATACTTATGAAAGCCAGCATAAAATATGTAAATATTTGTCAAGAAATAGCCCAAAGTGATGATACACAGTCCAGTGTTCAGTGTGTTGGTCCTAAAGGACTTGACATGATGTTTATTAGATGATGTTCCTTTGGGTCACTTGTGCAGTCCTTCAGGCTTTTGTCTGAGCCTATGATGTCATCATGTAGTATAGACATTAATCCCTGAGGGCCAGTAATGCTCTGAAAGTGACGTTGTAAAAAGATATTTCAAATCGTTTGGAGTCCACTCAAAAATTACCTAATATCTACATTATAATTTCTCTTATATGATATGTATTATCATTCAGTCATCATTTCCTCTAGAGTATAAATAAAATATGCCGAAACTCCCAGGTGAGCTCTGCTTCTAACTGAGCTGCCTCTTGAATGATAAAGATTTCCAAGTGGAAGCATCTTAGTGGGTATATCAAATCCAGTGCTTCAGTTACTAACAAAGAAAGTGTGTCCCAGACAGGTTAGCCGTCTTGACCAGAGTCATAAGGGTAACTTCCTTTAAGTCCTGAGTATTTCTGCCATTGCCACATTTTGCCTCTGCATTATGACAGAGCTCAGCTAGAGAGCATGGGAGACTGTGGAAAAGACAAGGAGTAGTGTTCTGCACTGATCACCAGCAATGTCTCCTCTGCCTTGTAGGTTATGCGTTTAGTGAAGATGGTGAATATTTTGCCTATGGTCTGAGTGCCAGTGGCTCAGACTGGGTGACAATCAAATTCATGAAAGTTGATGGCGCCAAAGAGCTTCCTGATGTGCTGGAAAGAGTCAAGTTCACCTGCATGGCCTGGACCCACGATGGGAAAGGGATGTTCTACAATTCCTACCCCCAACAAGATGGAAAGAGCGATGGTATGTGAAGACTTCAGTGAAGCTCTCCTTCACACTTTCCATGGCAAAAAAAAAAAGGAAGCTAAGTTACATGTTTTTTCTAGAGCCAAGTTTCCTCTAAGGGCAGTTGTGTCAGTTCACTTGGCTGCATAACTGACCATACCAAAACTTGGTGGCTTGGAATACTAGCTGCTAGGTTTTGCTCATGAGGCTCTAGGTTAGCCAGGCAGTTCTAGGCTTTGCTGGCCAGCTACAGTCAGTTGATTGATATTGGCTTGACTCTTTTACAGACCTGGGGTCTAGCTGGGACAACTAGGCTATCTCAACTCTTGATCCATAATGGTTTCATGCTCTAATGGGCTGGCCCAGGCTTGGTCTTGTAGGGGCACAGTAAAGATTCTAAGAGGGAGCACTAGAAGGCACAGGGTCTTATGCTACCTAAGCTTGCCACTGGTACCAACTTCACTGCATCCTCTGTGCCCATCAAAACCACAGGGCCAGCACCTTTAAACAGGCTAGATTCAGAAATTGGGAAGACATTTACAATCAGACCTTCACAGATGTGTTAAAACTCCCAAGAATATCATGGAGAAGTTACACTGTGTGTGTGTGTGTGCGCGCGCACGCGCACGTCTGTGTGCGTGCATGTGTGCACACATGCGTGCACGCCAGGCCTAGTCGCTGTTTCTAAGCTTTTTATTGCTCAAAGCTAACTCTGCCATTGTAGCCACAGTGCCACTTCTGTTTTTTTGCTGGTTAATTGGGAATAAGAGTCTCACAGATTTTTCTCCCTGGGCTGGCTTTGAACTGAGATCCTCAGATCTTAGCCTCCTGAGTAGCTAAGGTTACAGGTATGGGCCACTGGCAGAATTTTCTTTTCCTCTGTCTTTTTTTCTCTAATGATGATGTTGGGTAATTATGAATCTTTCCTACTATAGTAATCATAATTACATCTCTTCCTTTGATCACAAGTTGTAGGTTAGTTGTTGCTTGCGTTTATCTTGACTCTTTTCTTCCTGTTACTTTTATAGATACCCTTTGCAATGGTCTTCATCTGCACAACGATCCTGTTGTGTACCCATGGCTTGCTTCCTTCTTTCCCCCTCCTTCACTTTTTTTCTTTTTTTTAAATGCTGGTACTAGGGCTTGAACTTGGGGCCTAGGAGCTTTCCTTTAGCTTTTTTGCTCAAGGCTGGTACTCTACTACTTAAGCCATAGCTCTGCTTCTAGCTTTTTGATGGTTAATTGGAGAGACCATTCTCACTGCCTTTTCTACCTGAGCTGGCTTTCAACCTCAATCTTCATGACTCATTCTCTTAAGTAACTAGGATTACAGGCATGAGCCACCCTTTACTGTTAATTAATCCAGGTAGGCAGGGCCATGTATCTTTTGTGTTCCTACCACAAGTTGTCAGCATCATCTTATGCTGTCTTACATTTTTGCATGACACATAGTAGTTTCTTGCCGTTGTAGTTGTTTGGTCTTACAGGTGGCTTTACTAGGAACTTGTTGGAGGACTTGGGACTGTCAAGACACTTGGCTGGTTTGAGGCTTTCTTCTGTACATGTCCCTTTGTGATTTGCTGAATCTTTGTCATCTCTAGATGTGCTTGCTTTTCTGCTCCCTCTCAACCCTGCCTCCCCCTGCCCCCACTTTGCTTTTAATCTTTTTAAGACCATGTTTAGCTTATGTACTTTGGATTAGGGTACAAGAAGACCTTTTTCTTAGCTCACTAATGTACTATAAGAGGAGCTAGGAGTAGGGTTTTTATTCAAGAATGCTGGCTGAAGAAAGCTGTCTTATACACTGAATTAGCTTTCTGTATTCAGGTTTCTCCCGAGATAGAAAATATTGGTTATTCCCAAGTGATGGAAGAGGGAAAAAAAATAACGGGTCATATTAGAGTATAGATGTTGTTAGTTCGTGAAAAGCTTATTTATCCTCCATTCTCAGTGGCAAAAGATTGGTAATTGTGATTGGTTTAAGAAAGCCAACATCTTTTCCTAGCTGTAGTTTGGCTGCCCTTTGTCTAAGAGGGTCACAGTAGCCTCTGTAATGGGAGTCTGACAAATGAAGCTAAGCAGTTTCTATTGTCTGCTGTTTACCACTGTTCTGGAAAGATCTTTTCAGTGCCATAAGGATTTTCCTTCCATTATGGTATTATTATTCATTCTATTTGACAGCTTGGAATGTTTTCATAAGGAAAAAATATAGTCATATAACAGTTCCAAAATTGGCAAATATTTCACTTAATTTGGGGTGATTTCCAACTGATACACACTGTGTGTATGTGTGGTATGTGTGTGTGTTTGTATGTGTGCATGTTTGCACACTGGTACTCAGAGCCTTGTGTTCTCACCTGGCTTTTTTGCTCCAGGTTAGTGCTCTACCAGTTGAGCCACAGTTCCACTTCTGGTTTTTTGCTTCATAATTGCAGATAAGAATCTCATGGACTTTTCTGCTGTACTGGCTTCAGACTGTGATCCTTACATCTCAGCCTCCTGAGTAGCTAGGATTATAGGTAGGCGTGAGCCAACAATGGCAAGCCTCATTTTTGCTTTTTTTTTTCCCTTCAGTGTGGGGCTTGAACTCGGCCTGGGCACTGTTCCTGAGCTCTTTTGCTCAAGGCTAGGGCTCTGCCATTTTGAGCCACAGTTCCACTTCTAGGTTTTGAGTGGTTAATTGGAGATAAGGAGTCTCATGGGGACTTTTCTGCCCAGGTTGGCAGTTTCAGGGTCTTGGAATTTGGCCATTCTAATGGATGTATTGTGGTATCTGTTATTGGAACTTACATTTCCCTCCTTGTATCCCATAGGAAGCATCTTTTCCTTTGCTTACTTGTCTTCTTCTCTTCCTGGTTGCAAAGTAGTATCTTTTAAGATCTTTTAGTATCTCTTAAGATCTTCAGATCTCAGCCTCCTAAGTAGCTAGGATCACTGGCCTGAGCCACTGGCACCTGACTCATTTTTGTTTTTTAAATAAGCCTTAATTCACAGCAAAATTGGAGAGGAAGTTATCTGCTGCCTCCTCCCCAGCATAGACCGCCATTATCAACATTCCTCACCAGTGTAGTCCATTTATAATTAATGAACCTACAGTGATAGATCATTGTCACCCTGAGGCCATGGCTTACTTAAGGGTTTTCTCCTGGCCTTGTACATTCTGTGGGTTTGGACGAATACACAGTGACTTGTATCCAACATTGTGCTTCACACAGATTATTTTCATTGCCATGAAAACATCCTGTGTTCTGCCTATCCCTTTTTCTCCCAACCACCCGAGAAACTATGGAAGTGGTTTTTGTTGTTGTTTCCTTTGTGAGAGAGTCTCACTCTGTAGACCAGGCTGGCCTCAAACTCAAGACCCTTCTGCCTTAACCTAGCAAATGTTGGCATTATAGAAATATACTACTAGGCCTTGCTGTACCAACCTATTAGTAAATAGATCCTTAGTTTGGTCATTTCTAGAGTGTCCTCTAGTTGCATTACACAGAATGTAGCCTGTTTAGATCAACTTCTTTCACTTAGTAATGATACATGTAAGTTTCTTCCATGTCTTCCATGTTTGATAGCTCATTTCTGTTACATGGTGAATAATAGTACTTTGTTTAAATATATCACATACTTTATTCATTCCTCTACTGCAGGAAATACTGATTGCTTCAAAAGTTTTGGCAATTCTGAATAAAGCTACTGCATGAATCTGTGGATAATTCTTGTGTAGACATAAATTTTCAGTTCCTTTAGGTAAATATTAGCACAACTGCTACATCATATAATAAAAGTACATTTTCAACTCATGTCTAATTGTAGCTACTCAGGAGGCTGAGATCGGAGGATCACAATTCAAAGCCCACAAGGCTGACACGCCTAAGAGATTGTTCAGTTAACTAGCAAAATGCCAGAATTGGATGTGTGGCAGAGTACTAGCTATGAACATAAAAAGCCTAGTGAGGGCATGAGCCCCTGAGTTTAAGCCTTGGTACCAGCACCCACAAACAAAGGAATATGTTTACTTTTGTCAGAAGCCTCCAAATCTATCCTCCAAAGTAGCTGTACCAATCTGCATTCCCACCAGCCATGGGGCTGAGAGTTTCTATTAGTTCATATCCTTACCAATATTGGACGGTTTCAGGGTTTGGAATTTGGCCATTCTAATGGATGTATTTTGGTATCTGTTATTGGAATTTACATTTCCCTCCTGGTATCCCACAGGAAGCATCTTTTCCTATGCTTACTTGTCTTCTTCTCTTCCTGGTTATAAAGTAGTACCTTTTTTTTTTTTTTTTTTTTTTGGGTCCGGTCGTGGGGCCTGAACTCTGGGCCTGGGCGCTGTCCCTCAGCTCTTCAGCTCAAGGCTAGCGCTCTACCACTAGAGCCACAGTGCCACTTCCGGCTTTTTTCTTTTTGCTCATGTGGTGCTGAGGAATCGAACCCAGGGCCTCATGCATGCAAGGCAAGCGCTCTACCACTGAGCCACCTTCCCAGCCCCTAAAGTAGTACCTTTTAAGATCTTTGACCCACTATTTAATCAGGTTACATCATTTCTTACTTTTTGAGACATCACTTCTTTGTATATGTTGGCTAATAGTTGTTTTGTCAGGTAAACGTTATGTAATACTTTATCCCAATCTCTGACTTGTCTTTTCATTTCTTCGATAATGTCATTTGCTATGCCTACATTTTTAATTTTAATGAAGTCTAGCTTATCAAGTATGTATTTCATGGATTGTGCTTTGTACTATCTAACAAGTTGTCACCAAATCCAAAGTCATCAGTTTTCTCCAATTTCATTTTCTAGTAGTTTTACAGATTGGTTTTATGTTTATCTCTATGATACATTTTGAGGTTTTTGTTGTTGTTTCTGTACTTGGGCTTGAACTCAGGGTCTGTACAGGGCTTGAACTCTCAGTTGGCTTTTTTGCTCAAGGCTTACATTCTACCATTTGAGCTATACCTTCACTTCTGGCTTTTTGCTGGTTAATTGGAGATAAGAATCTCAGGGAACCTTTCTGCCTGAGTTGGCTTCAAACCCTGTCCTCAGATCTAAACTTCCTGAGTAGCTGAGGTTACAGGTATGAGCCACTGTCACCCTACAATTTTGAGTTAATTTTTATGAATGGTGTGAAGTCTGTGTCTATATCTCTTTTTGTTTCTGTCTATTTTGACATACGGTCATCTACTTGTTCCATCACCATTACTTGAAAAAACCAGATTTGTTGCATTGTATTTTCTTTGTTTCTTTGTCATAGGCTAACAAAAAGTGTGTATCTATCTAGATATTAGATAGATAGGTAGATAGATAGATAGATAGATAGATAGATAGATAGATAGATAGATAGATAGATAGATACTGGCTTTTTTTTTTTTTTCCAGTTGTGGGGCTTGAATTCCCGGTCTGGGTGCTGTCTCTGAGCTTTCTTGCTTAAGGCTAGTACTCTACCACTTTGAGCCACAGTGCCGCTTCCTTTTTTCTGGGTATTAATTGGAAATAAAAGTCTCATGGACTTGCCTGCCTGGGATGGCTTTGAACCATGATCCTCAGATCTCAGCCTCCTGAATAGCTAAGATTATAGGTGTGAGCCACCAGCACCTAGCTACCAGCAGTCTGTATTTGCCTGTGTCTGTATCTGGGTTCTTAATTCTAGTTTATTGTTTACTCCTCAGCCTGAACCATACTGACTTGATTGCATAACTTTATAATAAGTTGTGAAGTCATGTAATGTCAGTCTTTTACCTTTGTTCCCCTTCAGTATTGTATTTGGTACTCTGAGTACTTTACTTCTCCATGTAAACATTTGAATCAATCTTTCCTCATTCACAAAATGACTTGCTGGGGTTTTGGTTGTGATTTTGTGATCCTTTAGGTCATGTTGAGAAGAACTAATACCTTGAAAGTATTGAATTTTCCTACCTGTGAGCACATAATAGCTCTCCATTTATTTCTTTTACTGATTTCTTTCTTTCTTTTATAGTTTTCCTCATATAAATCTTGTACATATTTTGTTAGAGCTGTTGCTACATCTTTTTATTTTCTTGGATGCTAACAGAATGGTATTATGTGTTTAATTTGAAATTCTACTGGTATGTTGCTGGGTATGTAGGAATGCATTTAACTTTTTCTGTGATAACTTGGTACTCAACATTTTTGATACTTCTAGCATGGTATAAGTGGAATAGATGCCAACTGCATTTCAGTATACATTTTTAACTCCTTCAGGCACAGAGACATCCACCAATCTCCACCAAAAGCTCTGCTACCATGTCTTGGGGACTGACCAATCAGAAGATATCTTGTGTGCGGAATTTCCCGATGAGCCTAAGTGGATGGGGGGAGCTGAGGTATTGTATAGCTGTGGATTTTTACACTTGAGATCCTATTTGATTGATATATGTATAAATATTCTTATTATGGGATGACCTGTGTGGACAGTAGAAGCCCTGTTAGTATTCTACTTTAAAGAATATAGATATTTAAATTGATTCTTAATGCAGGTGAGCTTTTTATCTGCAATCTCAACAGAAAAATCTTCATACCAAAAATCATACTTGCTTATGGTTAAAAAATAAGTAGATAATAATATAGAATAAAGCATGCACATTTTTAACTCAGAATCCTACTCAAAGGTGAGTAAAATGGCTTTCTAAAAATTTCCTGATACATAAAAGTGAAAACATGTACTTAACATGACAGAGAAAGAAGAATCCCTTTTTATTCAGTTGTATTTTTTTTGTCTATATTAACTTCCTTTCCCATTTGTAAGTACCATTAGGCATTTTTCTGTTTTATAAATGCTGTATCTTCTTTGTTCCTCAGGGGGTTTTTGTTCTTTGCTCCTCAGAGGGTTTTTGTTGTTGGCAGTGCTGGGATTTTAACTCAAGGCCATGCATTTGTCACATAAGCACCTTACTTCTGGAGTCATCTCCTCAGCTCTTTTTACTTTAGCTTTTTTCTTTGCACTATTATTGCTAAGAGCGTACAGGTAGGCTAAATATGGTATATGTATTTAATGCATGTAACTATATATTTGTCCATAGTATATGTATAGATGTGCATGTATAGATGTGTATATGTGAGTGTATATATAATATATGTATAATATATATATTATATATTATACATATATTATATATACACTCACATATATACATAGTTTTACTAGCTAGACTAATAAAAAGAAAATTCAGGTCATGCTTACACTGTTCTTCCAGTGGAGGTTTACTAAGTATCACTGGTCTAATAAAATGTTGACCACAACTTTGAGGGAGAGGTGATAGCTCCATGCATAGACAAGATACAGGGTATTAACATGAAGTCTGTGGTTGGAGCTGCCTGCAGTATATTTTAAGTCCCAAAGTGCTGGTATCTTCTAGTTCAGCAGAAAAGCCATACAAAAATAGCTGCAGTGACTCCTTAAAGAATGTCAGTAAATGCAGGGCTGCATCTGTATGGCACAGAAATAAAGTGGGATAAAAGTAAATAAGGGATATACAAAATAAGTCCAAAAAACTTGATGTGAGCTCAGTGTCCTCATTAGTGAATTATATGGATGAAGTCACTAAGGAAACGAGTGTGCTTAGTAAACACCCAGTGGCTATAGGTTGATTTCTTTACTCCAGCCACATGGGAGGCCTTACAACCAGTCAGCACCATGGTTTCAGGGTTCGTTGGGCCTATCTTGACTGCCTGGAAGAGGGCACCTTTCCACCATGCCCTGTCATGTGCATATGCAGAAGACCATCTTGCTGCACAGAGGAGTGTTGAATCAGGAGTACCATAGCACTGCAGGAATGCAGTCTTCAGCAGTCTCAGGCCTATGCCTCAGTTCCTAGTCTCCCATTTAGAAAAATCTCCAGTATGAAGCAGGAGTTTCTTGTGCCCCTCAAGGTAGTATGGGAAAACCAAGGGAGTCCCAGAGGCTTGTATGCTGGAGGACTATCTGAGCCAGCAGCACTGCGTGTAGCTCAGTAGTCAGGGCATCACGAGACATGCAGGAAGCAGTTTCCAAACAGCCGTTTCTTAGTGACCTGCATCTCAGAGAACTACAGAAGTCTCCTCAACAACCATGCAGCAGAGGCCTGTACTGCCGTGTTGCTTTTATTTTTAAAGTATTTATTTGAGGGGTGGTTAAATGCATCTAGCAATCTCTGTGACTGAAAAGCCAGTGTTAGAGCAGTGGAGTGTACTAGAGAAAGAAAGAGGGTTTTTTATTTTGGTCCCATCTGGGTGGCCTGGGGTGAGTTCTTTCATCTCTCCACGTCTCTCTTCCTTGGTTTCCTCTGTTGGATTCTTTTGAGCTTTGAAAGTCTGTGAATGGGAACATTCATTGCAGCATCTCACAGTCTTGAAGCCATAGAGTTACTGGGGATGAGCTATGTGGGGTGTGGCTGGAGGGATGTTGTGAGGCCTGGATAGAAAGCTGTCTGGTAGGGGGATTGGGAACCGGGAGCGGGGGCGCATTGTAGCTTGTGGGGGCACTGAGAGGGACTCGCGTGCCTTGGGGTGGTTGGGGCAACAGCTGCGTGGGTGTGGAGCTATCCCATACTCCTCCCCCTTTAGCTGCTGCAGTCCAAGTTCACTTTGTCTGCTGGATGAAAAGTTCTCTTTATATCTTTGATGTGACTCACCTTCCTTTCTGTCCAGATACCTCCTCCGCCTTCCTGCATGGACTGGTCTTTCTCACCCTAAGCAGAGAAAGTTCAGCAAATTGCAGGCAGGAAGCACTGATGGTTGTTACATTGATGCCTTCAGTCATGCCAGCCTGTGTCTCCCCAGGATGGACACCTTCTACCAGGCAGAGTCCACAGCTTTCTGAACACTTTTGAATAGTAGGATAATTAAAGATTATTAAACTTCCACACAGACACAGGTTCTCTCTCTCTCTCTCTCTTTCTCTCTCTCTCTCTGTTCATCTGTTTTAGCTGCCTACAGTTATGGGTGTCTGGATACCAGCTCACTATGGCGTAATAGCAAAAGAGATACCCTCAGTTCTGGAGACCTGTGTACTGTGTTCCCCAGCATGGGTCATGAGCTCTGGATGACTGCACTTAGGATTCAGTTGAAGGACAGGATTATAGAATAGAATAGAAATTAAAGTGCTTTTAAATTTATTAATTATATACATTTATTGTAGTGTGTGTGTGTCTATGTGTCTGTCTGTGTCTGTGTCTATGTCTGTTGGTCGGTGGGTCTGGGGCTTGAACTTGGTCAGGGCACTGTCCCTGAGCAATTCAGCTCAAGGCTAACACTCTTATCACTTGAGCCCACAGCTTCACTTCTAGTTTTCTGGTGGTTAATTGGAGATAAGAGTCTCAGACTTTCCTGCCCAGGCTGGCTTTGAACCATGAACCTCAGATCTCAGCCTCCTGAGTAGTTAGGATTACAGGTGTGAGCCACTGGTGTCTGACTTATTGTAATTTTTTTTTTATTACCAACTAGTTGTTCAAAGTGGTTACAATTCCATAAGTACAGAGCTTCTTGGTCAGTGGCATTCTTCCCCATTTTTCTCCTCCCATCCTTACCCTCAAGTTACTAATTCAGTATTTGCATGGTGTATATTGAATACATAACTATGTTCGTTTACCCTTCCTCCTCCATTCCTGTATTTCAGTAATTCTGTGGAGTTACCCTTTTGGATTCCTTCCCTAAGTATATCTTCCTTTTTGTCTGTAAATGCATTGAGCCCTGTATATGTCATCCCACATAGTTGTATTTTAGATCTGGCTGCCACATGAGAGAAAACGTGAGCTGTTTGTCTTTCTGAACATGACTTTTAAAAAACAAAAATAATAAACTTATTTTAAAATCAGTTTGACTATTTAGAGGGAAAAATTACCTAGAAAAGGAAATCAGACATGCTAAGGCCCTCTTCCAGCAGAGGGTGCTCTAGAATGAAGATTGTAGAAGCATGTGCTGTAGCCATAAAAAGGACCAAGGCGGAAAGCAAGCGCCCAGCCCTTCTCTAGTTAAATCCTATATTGGGAACCTCATTCAGTTCCATGAACTTCATTCACATCTACTTAATTCTGAGAAAAAGATTGCTTTTTTTGTTGGTTTGTTTTAAACAAAGACAATCCTAAATCTTAATACATGCCATGTATCACGAAAGCCATTTTTATATACTCACTTGTTAATTAAGAAACATTCACTTACAAAATTATTATGTGTTGTACATGTATTAACATGCAAGATGCATTTCTGGTGCCTCATTTGTTGGGTATCTTTTTTCTGCTGGTACACTGGGTGAATGTTTATTATCTCTCCTGATTCCCCTGCTCAAGTTCTCACCCTATAGAATCTGTGCAGCAGAGGCCAGGATGTGTCCAATCAGTCTGCCTCCTTTCCCTCATTTGTTTGGTACTTCCCCCTCTGCCCCTCCTTGCTGGTATTAGAGCCTTAAGCTTATAGTTTGGGGTCTGTCCCTTAGCTTTTTTGCTCAGGGCTGGCCCCATTTGAGCCACAGCTCCACTTCAGCTTTTTGGTGATTAATCGGAGATAAGATTCACCTGGACTTTCCTGCGCTAGCTGGCTTTGAATTGTGATCCTTTGGTCTCAGCCTTCTAAGTAGCAAGGATTACAGGTATGAGCCGTAGCACCTGGCTTGGTTGGGTATCTTTTAACTTGAAGTAGTGAGTCAAGGGGAGATTTCTTCCTACAGTTTTCATACTTATTTTCCCAGGACTAGGAAGTCTCTGCTGCCTGTTCCTGCCACCGTTTCCCTCTCCTTAGCACTTCCTTATGTGTGACAGTATTCATTATGGTAATTAGTACATTGACAGTCTTTGTAGTGTGGTTGAGAAGTCAAAAGCCAGGAAGCCAACTAGAGCCCTGCATGTGGATAAATCTAGAAGGCCAAGTGGGTTCAAGTACATACACACACACACACACACACACACACACACACACACACACACACAAATCATTGTAGGTAGTTAATTTGACATCCTAAATTTTCCTAAATTAAGAGTTGGAAACACATTTAAAAAGTGATATTAAGATTCACAACTGTTATGAAAAGAATCCAAAAGTCGGTAAAATAAATAGGATAAAGTTTTCTACTAGAGGAGGAACATGATTAACTGCCAAAGCTATTAAAATCCATTTTTGCCTCTTTTGTTCATTTCCTGGACAATTTCAAGTGCCACTGATTTTTAGTATACTTTTGAAATACTCAATTGATTCTTTTATTATAACTTTAAATTACTCCCAACTTGAAATGCATGTAGGTATATAGACTCTATTTTTTTTTAAATCTTCCTAAGTAGAAAAAACATATTAAAGGAATTTCATACCCATGAAGATTTGGCTATTAATTCAAAACCACAGTACTCTGGAGTTCAGC